AAAAAAATTTCAGTCGCCAGTTGGCGCCTGCCGAAAAAGTTAATTTCGTACCCTGCAAATGATGTCTTCCTTGCAGAGAAAGACATACATTAAACGTGCAGTGAGACCTGTTCATTCATGATAAACCAGGTACCCATGTGAGCAAATCCTCTCACAACTGATGCAGATGGATGATGAAGTCTCTTGATTCACAAGCTCTGTGGAAAAATGAGAATTGCTACTGAACAGTCACTTGAATTCAAGCTATTAATTAATGCACTCACCTCGCATTTCTAATTTTTTCCATCCATTCTTCAGTGTCTTTTGTTGACTTTCCATTGAGGTGGTATCTTTGAGTGTCATCTTCATCAAATACTAGGGGAGAAAACATTTTAAAAAATTCCCAAGGATGTAAGCCACAGAGACTTCTCATAAATACAGAAAGGTCATCTAATCCTTGGCATCATTTGGAATACATTGTACCTTCAATGACCGTTTGACATAGAATTTTAGAGATGCTTTAGGTAAAGTTTGGAAGCCTGAAGCTAGCAAGGATACATGTGTATGGACATTTATAACAAGCCATAGAAGATACAGCCAGTCAGAATACAGGAAAGCTGTTGTATATTCAGTGGTATTACACCCAACTTTCCCATATTTGTGAGCTGGATTGATTGTGTTCGCCATTGTATTTTCCATGACATGGTATAAAATTGTTATGCAACACATGTATAAGTGACTGGGACATTCCATGGCATACTGGTCATTGGAAAGCATTGCATAATTAGTATACACAGGGGTTTCAATAACACTTTCAGCAGAAGTGCAACTGGTTCTCAAAGGTGGACATAATGTTTTGAACTGAACTTCTTTACAGGAAAAACTTCACTCTAGATGGTCAAACCAGGTGGGCAAAATCATCCTCTCAGCCAGAAAATTTGCCCAGTGCCTGGCCTCATTAAACATCATTTACAAATGCTGGAATTACCGATTGTGAATCCATGCTTCTTCTGAGGTGAAGAATCTTTCAGCACCCTGCATCGCTCCAGTACAATAGCACCTACTGGATCAGATGTCTGCTTGAATCCATGATTGGAAAGAACATGAAAGGACACAAATCAAATTGTTAAAAATCAGCTTTATGGTTGCAAATATCTAAAATGCACAAGTCTATGTTTCTTCAAAGGTCTTTCTTTGCATGCCCAGCAATTTTCTTTCCCATGAGGCATTAAGAGATTTAACTTGCAATAGAGCTACAAATGACTGTACTTATGTTGTTTCAGTTTTACTGATGGGTTGTTAATCAGTTGTTGCTCAGGTTTTGAATTTTGCAATCAAGTAGCAACTGACACAAGGCTGCCACTGCACAGCTCTTCATAGGGCTACGTCGGGTATGGCAAAATGATGTAACTTGAGCAGGAAGAAGACTAATTATTACAGAACGTACCAACACAGACTGAGGTCCTACACTCTGACAAACTTGAAAAGAAAGCATCACTTAACAAACCTGTTTATCAGGATTAACCTATTTTAGAAGTACCAAGCCAAACCCGTGTAAAAAAGCTGCAAGCCATGTATAGTCTCATTATTGCAAGTCTAGCTTGTTAGCATGTATACACGATTGTAACAATATCACTTTTTATCAGACCCACTCTCCTGAGAGAGTCATCATGCACGCAGTGGTCTAGGTAATAAGGACCCACAGAACTTCCAAGAGAGTTGAAGTGTATCTAAACACATCATAAAATAATTAACAGAATATGAGCAAACCAACCTTGTCCTTGGTCTTAAAGTAGAATAACAAATTTCCTCTGAGACGAAACCATCTCTCTGTATAGACTTAACAGAATACAACAAACTTTGTTAGAGTAACATAATCCAGGGTATCTGATCATGGGCATAGGAAATGTCTAATAACTTTGAAGAAGACAAATTATGAAGAAGTTCCAAATTTCATTCAAGTTGGTTATGTTTCAGCTAACTGTCAGTAAATAGCCCATAAGCAGGCTCACAATAATAATAATAATAATAATAATAATAATAATATCATTTTATCAGGCATTGTGGTACATCTTGTGGGCTAAAATGGAGAATTTGGCAGGCTAAAATGTATTTTAGCCTGCTGAAATAAACCAATGAAAAGTGAGAATCAAACAATCGTGTGATGTAAGCAGACAATCCTTTCAACATTTACAAATAAGCTTTATCGAACTTTCCTTTCATGTCTTCTACAATTTTTGAAAACTCCAATGGCAAGATTTTATAATTTCTAGCCAGCTTCGCTTGATGTATTGTGTATTTTCATAGAGGGAAAATAAAAGCCATTCAACTTGTAAATGCGCGTGTGCTTATTCAGACTGTTTTGTTGTCATTTTTTCAGTTTTTATTTTCTCAGTGCCCTCCAAAGTGATAATAATAGTAAGGCATTTATATTTTTAGGCATAAATATGTCTTGGGCCCTTCTCAAAGCTCATTTTAACCTTCCTCTGGCGGCTCGGGCTAAAATGAGTCTGAGTCAGGTCCAAAACATATTTATGCCTGCAAACATAAACTCTATTGTATCATTATTGAGACCTAATANGGTTTTTCAGCCGTTTTGGTCATAAGTAGGGTATTGTTTTAAGCCAGTTTGATCATTAATGGGGCCTGGTTTTTACACTCTAGTCTCGAATTGGGCATGTTTTTTAGAAGAAGCTACTTTTTCATCAATAACACAGATGAACAAAAGCCCTTCACGATGCCTTTAACATCGGTCTGAACTAGGTATAAGGCACGTCTGAAACAGGTTATTGATTTAGGGTCAGGTCATAAATAGGGTATTGAAAATCACAGATTTTAGTCACAAATAGGGTAAGGGTTTTGGGAGGTGGGCCGCACTCCCCCACCAAATTTTTTCTCAGATTCCCCCTCCCCCCCCCCCCCCCCCCTCCCCACCCAGGTATGGCATACACAGGAATCAGAAACTGTTTGTTTAGATAGTCTGCTTTGTTTATGAGGGTAGTTGGAAACTTACATAAACAGAACGTTTAATTTCTTTTGTTACGCGTCCTCTCTGTCTTAAACGGCTCTTACTATAAAACGTTTTTGGACCATCTGAAAGTAACAGCTACCCGAAAGTAGCGGCCCCTTTTACCTGCTAAATCCGAAGGTAATGTGGGCCGTTACTTTTGGAATTCTACAGTTACTCTATAGCTCCAAGAAAAAGGAAATTAGTCCCAGCCCAAGGTTATCAGAAAAAATGTTTGTTGCACGCAAAAAAATTGCTTACGTGGTTGGGAATCTGTAACTTCTCTTGAGAATATGCTCTACCATCACCATGGACCTAAATAACACAAATGGAAAAGACAATAACTGTCTAACTGTAACAAATTTAGCGGAAGAAAATAAATTGCCATCATCATCTCTGTTAATGTCACTGTCACTGTCAACAACATCATCACCGTTATCAACACCATCATCAGCAATGCACACATCAGCAGCATCAGTATTAGTCTTTTACACACTGGTATTACGCAGATATCAGAATAAACAAAATGTTTCTGCTGTTTTAAACATAATCAATCCTTGCTCTTTGTACCCGAGGTCACATAGCAATGGCTATACCTAACAAAACTGCCCAAAGCATAAAATGCAAAGTCTTACTGGAAAATATAGAGACTGGAGTCTCATTTTTCATTGAGAAGAAGAAAAACCAGGGTATTGAAAGAAAAAAATCAAGTACTTTAAACTTAAGGAGAAAATGCTTTCAACAAATTCCAGGTGTGCAATGCAAAAGCTAATAATTTCAGGCAATTTTCTGCCACTGACATTTTTCTACCTAGGGTTAGAAAAACACTCTCTTCCAAGTGCTTTCAAGACATGCCTAGAAAATGCATTAGTAGAGGATGAATTTGAGAACCTGAAAAGTTACAGAAATGACTTTGATGAAGGAAGGAACATAACTTGTATTTATTTATTACAGATGACAAGGATGGTTGTGACGTGGGTATAGGTCACCTAGACATTTCAATTAACCTTAAATTTGCACATTGGTAGCTGATCGAAAAAAGCTGGCGCAAGACGAGCAACGAGTGGGGTCTGGTAGAGAAAAAGGGCAGGTCTCCTTTTTCTCTACCAGACCGTACACGTTGTGCGCCCACTTTTTCAATCGTCCCCACTGACCAAGAGCCTAGAACAGGCTAGCACATTGGAAAATTATCAGTTGAAAGTTAAAGTACCTTCCACTGTTCCTCCTGGTTGCTATTTCATTCTCCTTCTAAAACAAAAGACATATAATAATGTGTTATTAGCTTGCACAAGTACCACCCTTATGGAATTTAATTACCTAATAGGACGGCATAATATTATTACATAAAACAGATGATGCTTAAATAGTGAATTGACAGAAGAAAACTAACACCAACATAGCAATGCATATGGCTTAATAGCATTGCAATGCACTAACCTCTATATTTTGAGAAACACGTTTTAGGGATTTGCGATTGTCCACCTGGAAAGATATGGATGAGAGAAAAAGAATCAATAATTAACAGGGGTTTCATTAAGGTTTTCAGCATGAGGGCAACTGGTTTTCACAGGCAGGCAAAATGTTTTTAACCGAACTTCTTTAAAAGAAAAACGTTCCCTAGACTGTCAAACCAGGTGGGCAAAATGATCTTCACAGCCCCTCAACTGATTTGCCCGGTGCCTGGATCTTAATGAAACCTGTGAATTAATAGAGTTGCTTTCAGCTCTGCTTCACATCCAATATCTGGATTGTACTATTTCTTCCTCTGTGTTGTCAGTGATATTAATAGATTTAATAGACCTTTCCTGCATTCCACTTCAGTGCGTTCGAGCAGTAGCACCAAAGTGAGGCTGGCGTGGACATTTTCATTCATCTGCTGTATTTTCATCCACCCTGACCTCAACTCGGTGCTATTGTTTGTTGGAATGTGGGCAAGGTCTATTCTACTTCTCCAGTGCAATGTGCCATGGAATCCTACTTGTAAGTGCATTTGACCCTGGAATGTTCTCGGGAGAGACACTTTACACGAAGAGTCTGTAGCTCTCCCAATGCCACCCAAGAACTATGTACATGTACTGTCAAAAATGTTGGGGTAACCTGACAGAGTGCTGACAAGTAAGCTGTGATGGACTAACATCTCATCCAGAGGGGAGCAATACTCCTAGCCGCTATATCCTTGGAAACCAGGATAAGTTCTGGCAGTGTGGGTCACTTGTCAGAGTGAGACGTTAGCTTGATCTATACATGTAACCTGGTAGGTGTGGTGGCCTCATGGTTAGTGCACTTGTCTCCAGATCGAGTGCTCCGGGTTTGAGTCCTGGCCATGGACATTGTGATGTGTTCTTGGGCTAGACACTTTACTCTCACAGTGCCTCTCTCCACCCAGGTGTACAAATGGGTACCAGCAAATGTAATGCTTGGGGGTAACCCTGCAATGGACTAGCATCCCATCCAGGGGGGGAGTAGAAATACTCCAGACCTGGTCACTTCATGCTACAGAAACCACGCAGAATCCCCCCTAGATCTGCCCCAGGAGAGGGTCTGAATTACAGCATTGGTAAATATTACAATGCTGCACTACATTGTGATAGCTTATTGTGTCAAGGATGGGAGGTTTTAAAGTGCAGTGAAAGAGAATGCAACAAGTAAAAGAAGATATTGAGGTGAAAGGAGTATTTAGGGGAAGAAAACTGTTAATGTCCATTTACTGTAAACAAGAAAATCATTCTTTAATTCAAGAGCAAAGAAATATATGCATTAAATTATTTTTAATAATATTGTTTTTCTATAAAGTACTGTCCAGTTTCACATCCACTGACAACTATATAATGTCTGTAAGTTTCTATTAAATGTCCAAAAATTTCTTATAATTTTAGTCTCCAGCATACCCATCTACACTGACCGAGTTTCAGGTCTGTACTGTAAGTTATGGAATAAGTTTAAGGCCCAAGCACCAAGCACATGGGCCACAAATCAAGGGGGATCATAACTTACAATATCAACCAAATTACTTGTCAAAATCAAGAATGCAATAGCCTTTATGCATTTATTTGTCATGAATGTCAGAAAACTTGACAAAGGATCAAGAGAGATTTAACCACAAAGACAGATCTAAATTTTAGTGAACCATAATGTACCATGTGGCCAGCTGAATTTGACCAATAACTACTTCCATACTAACTGCAGAGGTTTCTGCAACGGCGACTGGTTTATTCTGGTAAGTGTATAGTCTGCCCTTTTGTAAATACATAGTTCATGAGTATCACACAAGGTTAAATTATTTATATCTGGCAAACACCATGCAATAATACCTCTATGAAATAAATTTGCAAACTACAAATTAAACAATAAATTAAAGCACTTGTAAATAATAATATTACCTCTGATCAACCCACGCAGGAGTAAATTAACTTCTAAATAATATACATGCAAAATGTTTAGCATGCTGATTGGCTGGAACACGTCAAATAAACCAAAACAGCGCAGAAAGTTGAAATTGAGTGCACAAAGTTGAAAATGAGTTGGTATGAATGTATACTATTGATAACACTATTGCATGTATATTATAGACAAGTAATCCAATGATTTTTCTCTCGCAATTTGGAATAATTGAGCTCTCATAATATTTTTAAAGACTACAAATTGCACTTGCCATAATATGGGCTTGTGAAATTTTTTAGTCTTTAAAAAAGTTACTTGTATGTATTCCAAATTGCACTCAAAATCATTTGATTACAGATACAAATAGCAACACTGGTCAATGAACAAATCCTTTGGGCCACAATAATTAACCATCTTCAGTTCAATGTATTTGCAGACCAATGGAAGAACAGTACTGGCTTTGATAATGTTAAGTCATGTTTCATGTTGCTGCTAAAAAACTGTCAGAAGAGCAAACACGCCGTACAACAGAGCACAAGGATAAGCAACAAGAAGCTGCTGTGCGTCCATGGCAAGTACTGTTACAAACAGTTTTGATGCTGAAAGGCTGCACCAACCTATTGTTGTAGCTGTCAGCAGTGTCCCGAGGATCCCCCTGTGAAAAAATGGTGGTAAATTTGATCATCTTTTAGTAGCAATCAAGTGCCAAGTTTTGTCATCACAAACAAGAAATTCTGAATTTACTGGATTTAAACAGTATTTGAACTTCCTCAGTGAAAATTCTAGTACTTTACTTCCGTCAGTTGCACATACATGTATCCTGGGAGGTGCGGTGGCCTTATGCTTAGTGCGCTCGTCTCTGGATAGAGCGGTCTGGGTTCAAGCCCTGGCCGGGGACATTGTGTTGTGTTCTTGGGCAAGGCACTTTATTCTCACAGGGCCTCTCTCCACCCAGGTGTATAAATGGGTACCAGCAGACTTAATGCTGGGGGTAACCCTGCAATGGACTAATATCCCATCCAGGGGGGAATGGAAGTACTCCTAGTCACAGAAACTGGGATAAGCTCCGGCCTGATGGGCCACTTGGCTTGTATGCAGACTTTACCTTTACCTTACCTATTTCAGTCTAAAAATTAGCTAGTGATAAAGCAGTAAGGTTGAGATTTGGTCATTCACAAACCGTTTAATAATGTCTACCATTCCGCACACATTGCAGATCTATAATGCTAGATAATCAGTACTACACACAAGCCCTCTTACTTAGGGTCCATTCTTTCCCATTTTAAATGTA